GGTTGGGATTGGCCATTTAGTTCCAGTGAAGGGAACTTTAAAAGGTGTCAGCATACCAAGACATTTTGGAAAATTTCATGCTCCCAACTTTGTGGGAACAGTTTGGGGATGCCCCTTCCTGTTCCAACATGACTGCCCACCAGTGCACAAAGCAAGGTCCAGAAAGACATGGATGAGTGAGTATAGGGTGGAGGAACTTAACTGGCCTGCACAGAGTCCTGACCTCAACCCGACAGAACACCTTTGGGATGAACTAGAGCGGAGACTGCCAGGCCTTCTCGTCCGACATCAGTGCTTGACCTCACAAATGCGCTTCTGGAAGAACTGTCAAACATTCCCATAGACACACTCTTAAACTGTACGGACAGCCTTCCCAGAAGAGTTGAAGCGGTTATAGCTGAAAAGGGTGGGCCAACTCAATTTTGAACCCTTCGGATTAAAACTGGAATGCCATTAAAGTTCATGTGCGTGTAAAGGCAGGCAGCCCAATACTTTTGGCAATGTAGTGTGTAGTGTAAGTATTGGGGGGTGCCTGCCTTTACACGCACATGAACTTTAATGGCATCCCAGTCTTAGTCTGTAGGGTTCAATGAGTTAGCCCACCCTTTGCAGCTAAAACAGTTTCAACTCTTCTGGGAGGGCTGTCCACAAGGTTTAGCAGTATGTCTATGGGAATGTTTGATCATTCTTCCAGAACCGCATTTGTGAGGTCAGGCACTGATGTTGGACGAGGCCTGTCAGTCTCCACTCCAGTTCATCCCAAAGGTGTTCTGTCGGGTTGAGGTCAGGACTCTGTGCAGGCCAGTCAAGTTTCTCCACCCTAATCTCACTCATCCTGGTCTTTCTGGACCTTGTTTGTGCACTGGTGCGCAGTAATGTTGGAACAGGAAGGGGCCATCCCCAAACTGTTCACACAAAGTTGGGAGCATTAAATTGTCCAAAATGTCTTAGTATGCTGACATCTTTTAACCACTTGCCCTCCTGAGGATTTACCCCCCTTAATGACCAGGCCTCTTTTTGCTACTCGGCGCTGCACTAATTCAACTGATAATTGCGCGGTCATGCAATGCTGTACCCAAACAAAATTTATGTCCTTTTTTCCACACAAATAGAGCTTTCTTTTGGTGGTATTTGATCACCTGTGCGCTTTTTATTTTTCACGCTATAAACAAAAAAAGACCAAAAACTTTGAAGAAAAACGATATTTTTTACATTCAGCTATAAAAAATATATAGTAAACTCAAAGTTGGTTATAAAAATTTAGGCCAAAATGTATTCTGCTATGTTTTTGGTAAAAAAAAAAAATTCCAATAAGTGTATATTGATTGCTTTGTGTGAACGTTATAGCGTCTACAAACTATGGTATAGATACTGCAATTTACGCCTTTTTTTGCTATACAGCGCTGCGTTAGTTTAACAGACAATTGCGCGGTCATGCAATACAGTACATAAATGAAATTTATGTCTTTTTGCACACAAACAGAGCTTTCTTTTGGTGGTATTTGATCGCCTGTGCGTTTTTTATATTTTGCGCTAAAAAAAAAAAAGAAAGGCTGACAATTTTGAGAAAAAAAAAAACAATATTTTGGACTTTTTGCTATAAAACATGTCCAGTAAAAAAAAAATGTAAAAATCAAATTTCATCATAAATTTTGTCCAAAATGCATTCTGCGACATGTCTTTGCTAAAAAAAAAAAAAACCCAATACGTGTAAATTAATTTACGTGAAAGTTATAGCCTTTACAAATAGCGGGAAAGATACTCGGATTTTTTTTTTATACACTAATAATGGCGGCGATCAGCGACTTATGGCAGGACATTCTGACACTGGGGGGGGAACTGACTTGGGGTCACTGACATCCCCAGTGACACCAATACAGTGATCAGTGCAAAAAAAAAACACCGACACTGTACTAATGGCACTGGGGAAGGGGTTAACGTTTTTATTCACTGAAAGGGTTAACTGTGTGAGGGGAGTGCTTTACTAGGGGGCGGGTTTGTGTACTGCAAGGGGACACACTGATCCGGAGAGATAAACTCTTCTCTCCCAATCAGAGTGTCAGGAGCTGTCAGGGAACTGACAGAAAGCAGAGCTACTGCAGCCCTGCTCTGTCAGTGATTGCCGCTAATCGGCAACCGACCCGGCGACTTACACCCGCGACCGGGATCGGCGGTGCAGGTAGGGCGGTGGCGTGCCTCGTGCATGCCACCGCCCTACAAAAGCGGGTTTTAAAACGTGCTTTTGCCCAGCCGTGCTGCCCTGCCTCCGTATTTCTAAAATGGCTGGGCGGCATGTGGTTAAAGTTCCCTTCACTGGAACTAAATGGCCAAGCCCAACCCCTGAAAAACAACCCCACACCATAATCCCCCCTCCACCAAACTTCACACAATGCAGTCAGGCAAGTACCGTTCTCCTGGCAACCGCCAAACCCAGACACATTCATAAGATTGTCAAAGAAGCGCGATTTGTCACTCCAGAGAACACATCTCCACTGCTCTGGAGTCTAGAGGCATACTGTACACCGCTGCATCCGACGCTTCGCATTGTAATTGGTGATGTAAGGCTTGGATGCAGCTGCACGGCCATGGCAACCCATTCCATAAAGCTCTCTACGCACTGTTGTGCTGATCTGAAGGGCACACCAAGTTTGGAGGTCTTTGGCTATTGACTCTGCAGACAGTTGGCGACGTCTATGCGCTTCAGTATGCACTAACCTCGCTCTGTCATTTTACGTGGACTACTACTTTGTGGCTGAGTTGCTGTTGTTCCCAGTTGCTTCCATCTTGTTATAATACCACTAACAGTTGACCGTGGAATATTTAGTAGCAAGGACATTTCACAGATGGATTGAGCTCCTGAGAGCAACCCATTCTTTCACAAATGTTTGTAGAAGCTGTCTGCATGCCTAGGTGCTTGATTTTATACTAGTGGAAAAGAACAGACAAGGGTGCACTCTCATCGTGCATTACCGTGGTAGAACACGTATTTATTGAATAAAAAGAGGATATATACTCACAAACCAACGTGATTAAAAGCAGTATAAGTGGTCCACAAAGACAGTCACAATACATCTGTGTCTAATGATGCGAATAAGCTGACGCGTTTCGGAAGCTGAACCCCCTTCCTCAGAGCTACTAGCGTTTCGGAAGCTGAACCCCCTTCCTCAGAGCTACTAGCTCTGAGGAAGGGGGTTCAGCTCCCGAAACGCGTCAGATTTTCGCATCATTAGACACAGATGTATTGTGACTGTATTTGTGGGACCACTTATACTGCTTTTAATCACGTTGGTTTGTGAGTATATATCCTCTTTTTATTCAATAAATACGTGTTCTACCACGGTAATGCACGATGAGAGTGCACCCTTGTCTGTTCTTTTCCACTAGTGCTCAGATTTCCCGAACTTAGAAGGGCAGCACCTCTTCGGTTGACATTTTGGCATCTCCTTGGTTGTATGAAGACTGGAGCGCTGGTAACATTTGTTTATTGCTTGATTTTATACACCTGTGTCCATGGAGGTGATTGAAACACCTGAATCATATATATATATATATATATATATATATATATATATACATATATATATACACACACACACACACACACACATACATATACACACACACACACACATACATATACACACACACATAGATACATACACTGGACAGGAAGGAGTTAAAATAACCCGTTATTATGGAACCGAATATACACTAGAGCCAGCTCGTAAAACAAGATGCTGTATAATTATACTTTCCCACAGCCTGCGCGTTGATACTTTGCTGTGCTACAGATCCATGGCCACAGCAGGTATTTGATCATTTCTTGTGTGCCAAATACCTGGTCTGCAGCCACATGTTGTGGTTCCTCCCATTGGCTTGTATATCCTGTAGTTACACAAGAGCCAGCAGGGGAAACTTTTTTTTTCCCCCTCAAACTCACCACTGGTCCCTCTCCAGAGCTTAAATGATGAATATATTTAGATCTACAAATCTGTTTCTACATGTTCTTACGCTATTCACAAGTTTAATCTATGATACATCAACCTAGACCTTCATCCACTTTGTCCTGTATGCAGAGCTTAAATTAAGACTACAGTATATCTGTTTTTATCAATTTTAATAAACAATTTGGAGAAAGGATGTTGAAAGGCATCTTCTGTTTTCTCCCAACAAGTAATCTGAAATTGATTAACTAGTGAGATTTATATATTTGCACATTATTCAAGTGGCCTTGTACTTGCTGACAACAAAGTTTTAGCATATGGCTGGCATTTTAATCTGCAGATATGTTGACAATATGTGAATGAAGCACAGGAATCAGAGCTAACCTGTCTCCCAGGTGTGACAGGAACGCAGGAGCAACAGACCACGAACTTGGATGAAACAAAGAGTGGGATTCATCCAGCTTTCCGATACTCCTGAGAAATTTGTCCCCACCTTGAGCATTTCCATAGCAACAGGTGCAGAGGTAGAGGTATACAATGAGTCTTCTGTTCTAGTAAGAACAGGTAGTGGGGTAGGGGCCGAGGAGGAGTACTAGTTACATTCTGGAATAAAACTGCTGATTTCTCATAAGGAGCCAAAAAGACTCTGATTTGACAAGTACAGTAATAATAATTTACCTACTGGATAAAAAAAAAAAAATACCGCAAACATCTAACAGCAAAGAGAAAAAACACTTTTAGTGCAAGTAAAAGGTAAGATTAGTAAAAAGTAGTCCTACAAGGATTCATGCCAATAAGTTGTAGTTTATTCATAACAAAATTTACAATTGAAAATGCAAAAAACATTTTAACAATGTTTGTTGGCTTCATCTGTCTCTACAAACAAAAATGCTTCCAATGGGTATACATTGTCAGTGTCTGTCACATTGGCATGTAGAAATATAAATACTACAAAATATATATTTAAAAATCTTTCTGTACATCAAAAGATACTGTAGGCTAATAAAACACAGGAACATAAAGGGGAACATCCAAGAACAGGAATATCCAGTGGCTTTAGTCGGTAATGATGAGCTCATCCACCCCCCAGTCTTCATAACTGCCATCAGGAAGATAGCGTCTGATGATTATAGGGATCTTCCTGGCTCTGTAGGAGAAAATGTAGTTAACAAATAAAACGAACAAATAAAACTAAAAATGTTATGAGTCGACACACTAGCCTACTGATTTTAAATCTCTCTTGCTGTATATTCTAACAGGGGGAACTCCCCCTCAAGCCTCCATCTCCTGTCAGAATACACAGATCAGCACTGCAGCCAATCACTGATGAAATGCCGGTTTTCCAGCATAATCATTAGACCGGCTTTTGTTGAACAGAAAGGAGTGTACACATGGACCATGTATACCCAGCTTTACTCTTTATTGAGCAAAATATCTTACATCTGTTTACCACTTTCTTGGAATGCCACTTGCATAGCTGTTTGGAATCCCGATTTACCACCGCTTTTAGAACAAGCATGCTGCCAGGTCAGTGATCCAAAAGTACTAAATAGTTACATAGTTAGATTGGTGTAACAAATAGGCACATGTCCATCTAGTTCAACCATTAGAAAGCCAATGAATAGCATACAGTGGTGTTATAAAATGCAAGCACACCACATGGAAATTGTTGACTTGATATATGAACAGAGAAACAAAGATCTTCCTTTAACCCTTTTGCTGCTGCAGCCACCGAAATGGTGTGTAAAGCAGACTCCATGCTTCCACACACACCCAGGAAGGGCGCAACCCCATCCCCCGCTATGTTTTCCGGGTGCTGTCTGCCCATCTGCAGGCCTGGGACCAACAAAGCGGTCCTGGAGGGTGAAGGGAAGGAAGGAAGGAGAGTGGACATACACCTGCTCTCCTCCTCTCCTTGTTGCTGACCTGGAAAGTGATGTGTGTGACGTCACTTCAGAGTCCTCATTTCAGTTTCCCCGGAAAACAATGTATTGCAATGAGATCTGCACTACGTCACATTCAATGGGAGGAGACTTTTGGACCCTGGATGTCTCATTAAAAAGAACCTGTCACCAAAAAAACATCACAAGGGGACGTTGTCCCCTATGTGATGAAAACGAAAAGGGTAAAAAAAAAAAAAATTAAAAAATTTAATTTACACCCAAACACATTACCCGAAACCCCAACCATATTGGTGTACTGTGATTAAAAAAAATAAAAATAGGTGCACCCTTGGCCTTAGAACTTGCTACCCACCACACTCATATATTCAACCTCCATGCAACATACAGTAGCAAGATATTTAAGGTACCATGCATGAACTGCCTATTTCAAATCCACCTACAACAGTGGTTCCCAAACTCAGTCCTCAAGTACCCCCAACAGTTCATGGTCTCAGGATTTCTTTAATCTTGCATTGATGTTTATCAAAAAGTACAGAAGCTTTCAAATCTCCAGAACGCTAATCACACGCTGAGGAGAGTGCAGCAGGAGCCAATGTGGAGGGTGGGGGTAGATGAGGGGTAATGGGCATACAGTGTTAGATCAGGAGATTAGACTATTCTCTGGCTTTACTGCCTGCATGCTTATTGTGGATCAGTGATTCGAAATGTACTAAGGCAAGAGACAGTGAACTACCAATTTCAGTCTTTCAATTGAGGTTTCCCTGGGAACCCATTGCAGCAAACAGAAGACACACAAAGCAGAATTTATGAAAACTGGAGCAGCCAGAATCTGAAACAGTTGCCCATGGCAACCAATCAACTTCAATCTTTCATTTTCTAGACTTAACTGAACAAGCTGAAAAAAATTGTCATGCACAGCTGCTCTAGATTCTGTCCAATTTTGATAAATTCTGCCTAATGTGATCCAGATAAATGCCTTGCACAATTCTACCAAACCACCCAAAGGGAAGCACCAGAGTACATGTGAAACAAACGTCACAACTACAACGGAGCGTCTGGGGAGAAAATACAAACACGACAGAGCTTATATAGACTCTGTGTAACGGAACCCAATGACAAAAGATAAGGGGGGGGCTTAGCAAGTTTTTACACTGTTCTCTGTATTTTTCCATTAAAAGGATGCTTGTCCCCATCACAGTGCTGAAAGATGATGCAAATATGGAACTAAGAACCAAATAGTGACTTGTTTCATAAATGATTTACAGAAACTGAAGCTTTATGACAATACAGTAAGAATCACAAAATACATTTTAGGCCTTTATAAATTTATATAATTTATGAGTTTACATCTTTCTAAAATTATATTAGCCGGCCTAGAGAAAATACACGAGGAAAGGGTAAATCTGAGAGACTTACTTTAGTTCCTTCATAGCAATAAGCAGTGGGTCAGTTTCTCCTTCAAGCTCCACCATAACAGGTGCACACATTCTACAAAAGTGACAAGAAAGTTTAATTTTAATAAGCAAAAGTGGGTAGAGGAAGGCATTATCATACAACAGGAAAACATGCATATAGCGGGGAAAAAAAAAGACTTCAGCTGCAAGATATAAATATTGCAGAAGGGTGCAGGCAACTATACACCTAATGTGGGGAGGATTTGTACTTTAAAACAGAGTGGCTAGGCAGAAAGAATAAGTGAACTTATCGCATTACAAAATATGCTAAAAATAGGATTGCCAGTCCTCTATCAATGTGGTCACTACTACAAACAAAAATAAAATCTCAATTTCCCTGGTCAGCAAGTTTTTCTAGGATAGGCTCATCCTGAGAGATAGTTTCCCATCCCTACACAAGTATGAAGTAGACTCATTTACCTTTGTAATCTTAAAATAAACCTGTCCTGAGAGAAATATCTAGGCTGCTACTGTTGATCAGCCAAAAATGCTGGCTGGCGCCAAGTTATTTCTTTCTAATCACTAATCTGGAAGAAGCAAACATATTCTAGCACAACCCTTCTGGTTCAGTGACCCTACAGTAATCAAGCCACTGGATCAGCATGGCAGCCAGGAAATTAGCATTTTCAAGAACAGTAAATAATGGCAACCTATATAATCTTTGATGCCTTGAAAAATTCCCATTTATTTTACTAGAAACTGGAATTGAGGAATGTGGTCATCTAGATATGATTATACATAATCTTTCCAGTACAGCTAAGACCATCATTGGAACTGGAGATGTGGCCATGTTCCCACCTACTTCAAGACTAACCAGAAGCGCTTTACCAAAAACATTGCAAATACACAAAAATACCCGATGATCCTGCCAGAAATCCAGAAAGCTGGCAACGCTTGCAGCACTAAAAGAAGCACCATATTTATAGTTTTGCATTCTCTTGTGTAACACAGTTTCATAAAAAATGCATAATCTTAGATTCACATATTTATAACAAAATAGTTTTAATCTTTAATTAGAAAGTTTGAGATTGTGTTTTGTTTTTGTACAAATGACAATTTAACCTCTTCACGTCGAGCGTACGCAGATATGCAGCCTCTAGGCGGCTGCATATTTGTGTACCATTTGCAAACAAACGTGCTGAGAACGTGCGCCTTGCACGCTCCCAGCACATGTGTTGGCATCCCACGGAAAGGTCCCGATGTCTCCTTGAGTTCAGGACCTTTCCGATCATGTGACTGCTGTGACAGCCAATCATGGCAGCCACATGACCCTAAACCCCGCCCTGCCTCCCGGCGTCAGAAACCCCTGAAAGGGCCAGGAGGCGCCAGCAGCAAGGGGTTAATGACTGACAATTTAAGAGTATTTCTAGATTTTTTCCTATATCTACTGTATGTCCAACTTTAATGGAACATGAACAAAAACCAACAATATTTTAATCCCATGTTATGTGCTCCTGCAATTAGTAATAACATTTCATCAATTTCAGTCCCTTGGACAATGATCGCCACGCATTTTTTACATTCTAAACGGTTGGTTTACAAGCAGAAATATCTGATAAGTAGGCCAATTCTTCCAATCTTTTCTTCAGTGTATACAAAATAAAATGCATCACTTAGCTATCACTTGTTTGCCAATTTTTTTTTTTTTTTAATAGGTCTGATGTCCTTGCATACTTACGCTATCTGTAATGCTCTGGTACCCAAAACACGTGCCCTTTCATATTTTGTCATGTAATTTGTTGTGATCCGTTTCTGGTTTGCTTGTTGTCCTTCACCAGCTGGCAAGATTGCAACATTCTCCTGGTCTTCCTAAAATAGCCAATTAAAATAAAATAAGTGCACTTTTTTCTGATTAACTCATTAGGGTGGACTGCCTCCTGCTGCAGCCAAATATTTCAAATTTTGACTCATCAGTCCAGAACACCTGCTGCCATTTTTCTGCATCCCAGTTCCTAGGTTTTCAGCCAAAGGATGTGGAAACAAGGTTAAGCAACTCAACTATGCACCAAAACATAGGAACTGGGGTACAGAAAAACAACAAGTGCTCTAGAATGATGATTCAAAATCTGAAATACTTGGTTACAGCTGCCAAATATTGGATTGATTTGGATTTCTCTGTTCATTTGCTTTCTCTTTTGTTAACTGATAAATAATAAATTATGAACACTTCTATTTCCAAAAGCATTCTTGACAATTTTTTTTCACACCTACCTAAAATTTTTGTCTCTCTTTATCTCTATATATAATCTCTAGGAGCCTGTTATGGGACAGTTTTTTTGGACAAACAGGCCTTTATTTTCGATGGCAGATCCTAAATTTGCATTTGGAGGGGACTGGAGCCGGGCATGCTGCTGAGTGGGACAGCTTGTTGGGGCTGAGGTTTTTGATGTGTGTTGTCACCCCCATTTTTCTCCAGCACCGCAAGTGGGGACTGGCAGGGAGGACGACAGGTGGGCCACGGTGCTCATGGAATGGCTGGTGCAGAGGAAGAGGGGAATGTGGGGGTGTCGGTGTGTGGAGAGGAAGAGAGAAACTTTAGCTCTGCTGCAGGTGTTTTTTGGATGTTGGGAGTTGGATCGGCTGCCCGGTGCTGCATGTCTGGTGTATCAGGCAGTGGGAATTACTTGCACCTGATGCTTCGGAAGCCCAGGTGCTGCAGTGCAGTTTAAGGCTGCCTTGGCCACCTGGCACCTGGGATTTGTTGAGCCCTGTCCCACACACATTCACCTGGCAAACGCCAAACCCAGACACATCCATCAGATTGCCAGACAGAGAAGCGTGATTTGTCACTCCTGAGAACACGTCTCTTCTGCTCTAGAGACCAGTGGCTGCAAGCTTTACCCCACTGCATCCAACACTTTGCATTGCATTTGGTGATGTAAGGCTTGGATGCAGCTGCTCGGCTATGAAAACCCATTCCATGAAGCTCTCTATGCACTGTTGTGCTAATCTGAAGGCCACACCAAATTTGGAGGGCTTTAGCTATTGATTCTGCGGACAGTTTGCGACTTCTACGCACTGTGCGCTGACCCCGCTCTGTCATTTTACCTGGTCAACCACTTCATGGCTGAGTTGTTGTTGTTCCCAGCTGCTTCCACTTTGTTATACCACCACTAACAGTTGACCGCGGAATATTTAGTAGCAAGAAGTTTCACGGATGGACTTACTGCACAAGTGGCATCCCATCACGGTACCACACTTGAATTCACTGGGCTCCTGAGAGCGGCCCATTCTTTCACAAAATGTTTGTAGAAGCAGTCTGCATGCCTAAGTGGTTGATTTTATACACCGGTGGCCATGGAGGTGATTGGAACACCTGAATCCAATAATTTGGGGGGGGGGGGGGGGGGGTGTCCCAATACTTTTGGCAATATAGTGTATAGATATAGAGAGAGAGAAAAGACAGACATCAGATTGGTGAAAATCTTTACAATGAGGGACATTTATCAATTCTGGCATAAAGCAAAACACTGCTATACCTCCCTGCAGAAGTCAAAGTCCCAGTTTGACAGTCAAGTCAATGGATGTGACTGAATGGCTTTATAGCCACCCAGATCACGTTTCAGTTTTACATAAAACAGGAACACCAACTATCAAAACTCAAAACGGAAGCTCATGGTTGCAACTGCATCCATATGGGTGTTATCAGCCCTCTACTACACTGCAGTTAACAGTTATGAGAGTGACAGTAAAATGGTTAAAAGAGGCAAACTACCCACTGATTAGCCTTATGTTTCATAAATGCTTATGATCAAAAAGAAAAAAGAATTTTAGATAGCTGACCTCCTCAGCGTTGTCCAAGTCATCAAGTCCTTCATCTTCTTCGGCATCATCAAAATCATCACCATCAAAACTGGAAGAAACAAACAAACATTATGATAGGAAATCCAAAATTTACTTTTCACAGGAACAAGAGGTGAAGGGAATTTTTCCAAATGGGACATCTGTTCTGGCAATAACAGTCTTAGAGGGGATAGCCCTCATTTTGGTGGAATTTCCTCTTACTTCCCTCTCTGTCTTTGAAAATAGGAAATAAGGGAAATGTCCCCAATGGGACACGGTTAGTAAGTACACAATGACAGGAGTCATAACCATTCCTCACACTATCCAAACTACAATGTGTTGACTGTATATTACACTTTAACCACTAGCATATAGGGCACTTATACCCCCTTCCTGTCCAGGCCAATTTCCAGCTTTCAGCGCTGTCACACTTTGAATGACAACTGCGCGATCATGCAACATTGTACCCATATGAAATTTTTATCATTTTTTTGAGACAGATAGAGCTTTCTTTTGGTGGTATTTAATCACCTCTGGGATTTTTATTTTTTCTTAAACAAACCAAAAACCACTGAAAATTTTGAAAAAAAAAAACACCTTTTTTCTTAGTTTTTGTTATACAATTTTCTAAATAAGTGATTTTTCTCCTTCACTGATGTGCGCTAATTAGGCTGCAGTGATGGGCACTGATAGGCTGCACTGATGGACACTGATAGGTGGCACTGATGGACACTGATGAGGAGGCACTGGTAGGTTGCACTGATGGGCACTGAAAGGCAGCACTGATACAGCACTGATAGGCGGCACTGATGGGTGACATTGAAAGGCAGCTCAGATGGGCACTGATATGTGGCATTGATGTGCACTGGTATGCACTATGTGGCATTGATGTGGCACTAATGAGCACTGGCACGTGGCACTGATGGGCATTGGCACTGATGAGCACTGACAGGTGGCACTTCTGGGGTCACACTGATCATCAATGCCCTGATGATCAGTGTACATGTCCCCTCCGCAGAAAGCCTGATTATCGGCTCTCCTCTCGAGCTGTCAGCGTGACAGCTCGAGAGGACAGAAATGCCGATAACCGACATTTCCGTGTTTACATGTGATCAGCTGTGATTGGACACAGCTGATCACATGACGGAGCCGACATCTTCGGCTCTGTGATTCGCTGTGTCCGAGGGACACAGCGGACCGGCGATCGCCGCACTGCACGCTCCCTAAGCCCGCGCATGCGCAGTGAGAATGGTAGGACGTCATATGACGTCCTATCAGAACGAGAGAACAGCCTTGCGCCCGTCGTACTATAGGGCGGGCGGAAGGTGGTTAAAGTATAACAGAGGACACAACTTTTTGAAGTTTTGACAGAAGAGAAGAATGTGAGAACACCTGTCTGGTTTGTGTTGCTACATAATAAAAATAGAAACAATGCCACACCACTGTTAAGAGATCCAAAAAGTAGTAGTATAGTTTGGATTGTCCCCCTGATTTTCATACTGGTCACTGGAAGTTCAACATGGCACCTCATGGCAAAGAACTCTCTGAGGATCTGAAAAAAAGAATTGTTGCTCTTCATAAAGATGGCCTAGGCTATAAGAAGATTGCCAAGACCCTGAAACTGAGCTGCAGCACAGTGGCCAAGACCATACAGCAGTTTAACAGGACAGGTTCCACTCAGAACAGGCCTTGCCATGGTCGACCAAAGAAGTTGACTGCACGTGCTCAGTGTCATATCCAGAGGTTGTCTTTGGAAAATAGATGCATGAGTGCTGCCAGCATTGCTGCAGAGGCCACACTCTGCATCAAATTGGTCTACATGGCTGTTGTCCCAGAAGACAGCCTCTTCTAAAGATGATGCACAAGTAAGCCTGCAAAGAGTTTGCTTAAGACAAGCAGACTAAGGACATGGATTACTGAAACCATGTCCTGTGGTCTGATGAGACCAAGATAAACTTATTTGGTTCAGATGGTGTCAAGCGTGTGTGGCTGTGTCAGGGATCTCCTCGATCCCTGCTGTGATGGTCCCGGCGCAGGCGCAGTGCACCGCCCTGTGCAGGACACGGGCACTAGGTCCGGGCCGGCCGCGGCGTTCGAGTTCGCACATGCGCAGTAGAAGCCGCGGCCGCCCGCTGGGCACCAATGGCAGCGCAGGGCGGGATATTTAAATGGCCCTGAGCTGTCATTCAGTGCCTTCTGGTCTTCCCTGCATCCTGTGAACCTGTGTACCTGTACCTTGTAAGTGCTTTCTTTTGACCCGGATTGTACCTGACCTTGCTGCTTTCTCCTATTCTGACCCTTGCTTTGCCTGACCTCTCTCTTGAATGCCCCTGATTGGATTTGACCTGCTGTTGCTGACCTGGCGTGTGACCCGACCATTCTATGCCCGCTGCCTTGTACCTTGCCGTCCTCTCTGTTACCGACCCGGCCCGTCTGACCTTGCTCATCCATCCATCCCTTGCAGTGGGGTCTTCTGACCTCCTCACATCAGACTCTTCCCCGTGGGAGCCCTTGGCGCATACCACTACCACTGACGGACGCACCCAGTAGCCACGACCTGGTCTCGGGGGGCTCCAAGTCCATCCCCACCATCAGGGGCCATGGTGAACAAGCACCCTGGGACTTAGATTCGTGCGCTGGGGACGCCTATTCAGTGGAGTGCTAGTGGTACCGCCAGGCGGTCCCTTACAGGCTGCAACCAGGTGAGGAGTTCAAAGACAAGTGTGTCTTGCCTACAGTCAAGCATGGTGGTGGGAGTGTCATGGTTTGGGGTTGCATGAGTGCTTCTGGCACTGGGGAGCTACAGTTCAATGAGGGAACCATGAATGCCAACATGTACTATGACATACTGAAGCAGAGCATGATCCCCTCCCTTCGGAGCCTGGACCACAGGGCAGTATTCCAACATGATAACGACCCCAAACACACCTCCAAGAAGCTGAGGGCAAAGGTGATGGACTGGCCAAGCATGTCTCCAGACCTAAACCCTATTGATCATCTGTGGGGCATCCTCAAACGGAAGGTGGAGGAGCGCAACATCCACCAGCTCTGTGATGTCGTCATGGAGGAGTGGAAGAGGACTCCAGTGGCAACCTGTGAAGCTCTGGTGAACTCCATGCCCAAGAGGGTTAAGGCAGTGCTGGAAAATAATGGTGGCCACACAAAATATTGACACTTTGGGCCTGAATTGGACATTTTCACTTTTGCTGCCAGTGCTTTAGACATTAATGGCTGTGTTGAGTTATTTTGAGGGGACAGCAAATTTACACTGCTTTACATTGTAGGGCGGAAGCGGTGCGCAAAATCATATATATATATATATATATATATATATATATGGATCACCAGGTTACAGCGGGTGATTACTCGCCGGCACCCAGTGAGCACAGTGCATTACCGACAGGGGGGAGAGAACTGTATATAAACAATGCATAGCAGAGCCATACAAAGCAGTGTGCTTACAGCTGAAAGCACACACACAGCTTACAGTAAAACTGCACACAGTTAAACCGTTGATCACCCCAGATGTTAAGCCCTTCCTGCCCAGTGCCATTAGTACAGCGTTGGTGTTTTTTATTAGCACTGATCACTGTATTGGTGTAACTAAGGATGTCAGTGACACCAAGTCAGTTCCCCCAAGTGTCAGAATGCCTGCCGTAGTCCCACTATAAATTGCTAATCGCCACCATTACTAGTGTAAAAAAAAAAAAAAAATTCCATATATACCGCCATTTGTAAACACTATAACTTTCACGTAAACCAATTTACACGTACTGGGATTTTATTTTTGTAGCAAAGAAATGTTGCAGAATACATTTTGGTGTAAATTTATGATGAAATGTATTTTTTTTTCACTGGACATGTTTAACCACTTGATCTCCTGAGGATTTACCCCCTTAATGACCAGGCCTCTTTTTGCTACTCGGCGCTGGCACTAATTCAACTCATAATTATGCGGTCATGCAATGCTGCTTCCAAATGAAATTTACATCCTTTTTTTCACACAAATAGAGCTTTCTTTCTGTGGTATTTGATCACCTGTACGGTTTTTATTTTTCACGCTATAAACAAAAAAAGACCAAAACTTTTGAAGAAAAACGATATTTTTTACTTTCAGCTATAAAAAATATATAGTAAACTCAAAGTTATTTATAAAATTTAGGCCAAAATGTATTCTGCTACATGTTTTTGGTAAAAAAAAATCCCAATAAGTGTATATTGATTGCATTGTGTGAAAGTTATAGCGTCTACAAACTATGGTATAGATACTGAAATTTACGCCATTTTTTTTACTATACAGCGCTGCGCTAGTTTAACCAATTCAATATCTGGCAATTTTACACCTTCCTGCCCAGGCCATTTTTCAGGTTTCAGCGCTCTCACACTTTGAATGACAATTGCGCGGTCATACAACATTGTACCCAAACTAAAATTTTATCAGTTTCTTCACACAACTAGAGCTTTCTTTTGGTGGTATTTAATCATCGCTGGGGTTTTTATTTTTTGCTAAATAAACAAAAAAGGCCGAAAATGTTTAAATAAAAAACACGTTTTTCTTTGTTTCTGTTATAAAAGTTTGCAAATAAATAATTGTTCTTCATAAATTTAGGCCAAGATGTATTCTGCTACATGTCTTTGGTGAAAATAACCCAAATTATGATGTATTTTTTAGTTTGTAGGAAAGTTATAGAGTTCACAAACTATGGTATAGATCTGAATATTGATCAATCCTGAAGTACTGACAGCGAATCTAATTTCTTGAGGTCCAAGAATGTCAGAATAGTACAGATATCCCCCAAATGACCCCTTTTTGCAAAGTAGACAGTCCAGCGTACTTCATAAGAGGAATGGCGAGTTTTTTGAAGTTGTATTTTTTTTGTCATAATTTTTCGGAAAATGAAAAAAATAAAAAAAATTATTTTCACTATTTTTTTTTTTACATACTGTCACCAGTGCAGTACAGCGTCATCATATAACTGGCATGGCAGTGATCAGGGACACTGAATGGTGACAGTGTGAAAAAAAAATATATATATATAAAATTTTTTATTACATTTTTTTAAGATTTTTTTTTCATATTTCACTATGTCCAAAGTAGTACAATGTTACCATAGTAACATTGTACTACTTTGGGGAAGTGATCAGTATTTTTTTTTTTTTTTTTTACACAATTTGCTTATAGCAAAGAATTACTTTGCTATAAGCAAGCATTTACCTGAATGACATCGATTCATTCAGGGTTTTTTTTTTTGTGCTTAGCTGTGATTTGGCCACAGCTAATCACATGACATGTGCATGTGATTAGCTGTGACCATTCACAGCTAGACACTAGTATACAATGGATGGCATGAATGAAGCCATCTATTGTATACAACTGTCATGTAAACTGCTGTGATTGGTCACAGCAGGTCACATGGTACCGGCAACAGGGGCCGGAACTCAGATCTGTCATCGGCCGTATCCGAGGTACACGGCCGGTGACATGGGCTGCGCAGCTCTGCAAGCGTGCGAAACTGCGCATGTGCGGGAGGACGCCATATGGTGGCCTCCCGGAAAGGTAATACATTTTTGCGGATGCCATTTGGCCATAGGCCGGGCGTCAAATGGTTAACAGACAATTGCACGGTCATGCAATATGGTACATAAATAAAATTTACATCCTTTTTTTCCCACAAATTGAGCTTTCTTTCGGTGGTATTTGATCGCCTGTGCGATTTTTTATTTTTTGCGCTATAAAAAATAAGGCTGACAATTTTGAAGAAGAAAAAACAATATTTTGGACTTTTTGCTATAAAACATGTCCAGTAAAAAAAAAAAAAAAATGTAAAAATCAAATTTAGTCATAAATTTTGTCCAAAATGTATTCTGTGACGTCTTTGCTAAAAAAAAAAAAAAAAACAATACGTGTAAATTAATTGGTTTTACGTGAAAGTTATAGCGTTTACAAATGGCGGGAAAGATACTGGGATTCTTAATTTCTTTTTATACTAATAATGGCGGTGATCAGCGACTTATGGCAGTGATCAGTGACTTTTGGCGGCAATCAGCGACTTATGGCAGGACTGCGGCAGATATTCTGACATTGGGGGGTACTGACTTGGGGTCACTTACATCCCCAGTGACACCAATACAGTCATCAGTGCAAAAAAAAAAAACACTGACACTATACTAATGGCACTGGGGAGGAAGGGGTTAACTTTTTTATT